GCATTTGGTATCTTTTCATGAAAGGTATTTCTTCTAACTGGTATCGTGGAAACGGTGAGCAAGATCAAAGTTGGAATATTGTCTCTATCCTTAAATCTGTATACCCCTGAGAACTTGGCTTCTCCAAGCCGAGTATTTCCTCTTCTGTAAAATGGGGATGTTACCATTATCAAAGAGTGATTAAGAGGATTAGAGTGCCCATTTTACCTTTAGATATCTTTGACTATGAGGTCATACTTATATTGAACAAAAATCTATCTCTCTGTAATTCTAATCAATTCACTATAGTTCAGCATCCTGGGACCACATTAGGAAGTTGAAAATTATCTTAAAACTGAGTTTCCCACTGTATAATTTTTGGTGTTTATGCAGCAACCTGGCCTTTAACAACTCAATATTAACCATGTCTTATTTTCCCCAAAGATAATGATTAAATAACTACATTTGCCAGGCAAGGGCATCTGGGAGTCTCCTGGACAAATCTGATCATCAGAGGAGTCCCATATGTCCCAGGAATGGGTCTGCTTTGGTATCCCTGCTGTGCTCAGGCGTGGGCTGGGAGGTGCCTGTGGGAAATGTGGACTTCACACAAATTCAACAATGGATTTCAGAGGTCAGCAGCTTGAGCCCTTGGCCAGTTATACTTCCTCTAGTTGTATGCCTTTGAGGCACATGCTTAAGAACACCACATCATATTTGTCCACCTTAATTGTATATAAAAATAAAATTGCTAAAAACTCTAGTGTAGTATTTGCTTTATAGAGTGAAAGATAAATGTAAATTTTGCTATGGGGAGATGGTAGCTAAAAGAAGCTACTATTTGTGCTTCTCTCTTACTCCCATGCAGAGCCCCCCTCACAACCACCCATGCTTCCCTCAAAGTAAGATGATAAACTGAGCATGGCAACATTCCAAGACAAGCTTGGTATGATTTGCCTTTGCAGTGTATCTTGGCTTTGCCCCTCCTCATGGTTAATTTTCAGTACACCACTAAACAAATTATGTTTTTTCAATGTTTATTGATTTTTCTTTCATCTTTGACTTCCTCGATTAGGAAAAGGGTAGGCTGTTAATGTCTCTATAACAAAGAAGTGAGAACAAGATTAGTGAACTGAATAATTTTGTTAAAGTTCTGAGATCAAAGCTTATTGTCCTAGTGTTTCTGTTACTCATTTTCAGTATATGATGATGTAGGCCATTTCCTTAGATTCGATTCATGGAACTGTATTACCCTTGCTTAGAGATTTTAAGTTACACTACTTATTAAGGAGTACCATAGAATTTCTTATGTCAACCATGAAAACAGCTATATACCGTAGCTGTAAATAGTGTTTACAGTTGTATACATGTAGTTGATTGCAACATGGCTTTTTAGAATCTGTCTTCAGTGACTTTCAAAGATCACCTTTGCTGGTTATGTAAACTTAAAACAATAGATTTGCTTTTGGACATCTAAGAGTATGATGCGGTGTCTCATGCCTGTCATTTGCCAGCAAAAGAAATGTTACTCTTCAGCTTTGCCACAATGCCCTCACATTCTTCAACCTTGAGTTAGTCAGCCACTTATCAGCTGATGTGATTTTACATTTTTGCCTTGATCATTAATCATTCACTTTAAGTTCTCCTTTTGTAGTGTTTGCCAGTTGCTTCCAAAACAAACATGCTTTCTGGGCTTAAGGAAGGGAAAAGCAAAAAGATTTAAAAGAAGATAGTAGATGGTTTCACAGTTATTTTGGCTTTATTACTAATGCCAACTCCTATCATAAGGCAAGAACTAAGCTTGAGGTATTAATAAATATTTTATTCAAGGAACTTTTTTTCAGCCCTATGAGAATTTATAAACATGATTGGATGGGATGGTGCTGTTAAGTTAAAGGGAGAGACTCTCTCTCCTAAGATAATAGATTGTTTGGTGATTTTCTGAAAATTTGAGTGTGGGTTTACATAGTTTTAAATATTCCTTTTAGATTTACTGTGGTTTCTAAAACAGTCTCTTGTTTTAGGAGGACATTTATTTATTTTGTGAAATAAATTAATAAAATTACATATGTCAGCTGACATAATTTTTCACTTTTATTATTCTGTAGATAATAATCAACCAGGTGTAAACATGAGTAATATATTTCCTCTATTACATCATACATTCCTAGCCCTTTGAATAAGCACCTTTGCAAAAATATATTTCATTTCTGTCTTGATTAAAATTTGTTTCATGAGTTGGAAGAGATCATGAACCCTGGGTAATGCATTTTGGTTGTAACTAAAATTCTTAAGTCACTTAATTATGAGTTACGCCAGACATGGAACTTTATGACACCCAGGGTATTCTATTAAAATAGCAGTATTGAAATAGCTGCTGGCCCTTTCTAAAAAGTATGGCCATTTAAATCACCTAAATAATGATCTTTGAAATTACAGAATTAAAAATACCACGTTATTTCCTACCTGATAATTGGATGAGAAATTAGACATTAACCTAGCCTTCCAAAGGCCTAGAGATTCCATTTTTTTTTTTCTTTCCTGTTCCTTCTTATTTGTGCTAATTTTATTTTCAGTAAAACAGATCAAGGAATTTCTCTTAGTTTATGAACCTTTCTAGAAAAGTAAATATAGCTTATACTTTTGCTATTGGTTTTATATTAAAGAAATTATGCAAAAGTTGCCTTTTAATAGAAGTAAAAGTCTTTGTAGAACTTATCTGTGATTTACACATGCATGCTTCAGAAGGTCAGGTATTCTAACTTTTGTACAAGGTAAAAGTTACTTGGAATATGGAAAGGCATGCTAAAACAAATAGAAAACATTTTATTTCATTTCAACTACCTTTCTTTTTAAAAAATCTTTATTTAGTAGACATGATTTACATATCAGCCCTCAAACATAACTTTTAAAGTTTGCTCCTGTTTTAAAAGAATAAAGTCACTCTTTAAGACAAATGAAACTTTTACTGCCCTGTATTTGCAGAACAAAATACTGTAAACTAAAATTAACTGTAATATTCTAATGTTGTAGAGAAGAACCAGGGAATTTCTAAAGTCACGTTGTTAAAACAAATTTTTAGTTGAGAAATAAAAAAGAGAAAGAAAACTTCCTTAACTAATGATTCTCAAATATTAGTAATATTATTTTATTTCACATGAGAATCAAAATGTGGGAGATCTCACTTGTTAGGTACAAGGTAGGAAATATAATTACACAGACAAAAATGGATTATAGCAAATAATACCAGTTTGTCACCATATCTATACATGAAATAAATTCAAAATTATATAATTTTAGTGGTAATTACTGAATCAGAAAGAGTAAGATGTTATGTTTTAAAAATATTTACTATATAAAGTTTAATTATTGTGGCATAATAATACTGGGAGTTTTCTAAAATAGGACATACCTTATATCTTAATATTGATTCTAAATTCAAATGAATTTATTGTTATAAGGAGATATTGTGCATGTAAAATTCACAAGTTTTTGTGTAATTTTTATTAAATTACAATGTATTTATATGGTCTACTTATTATAGTTTTGGAAATTACAAAGTAAACAATTGATTATCAACCTAAAATTCCTTCCATTTTAAACTACAATGTCAAGGTTCTCTGGTTAAATCACGTAACATTACAAGTGCTATCAGAATGACCTCAGACTATTTCTGTTCTATTTTCTTTGGCCTTACTCATGTGATATTTTTTATACTTTAAAAACCTTTGCACTGCACTATGCTACTGTAGAACAATCTGATTTTTCTTGATTGCATCTCAAAGTTGATTATACTGATTTAATAATAAGATAAATATAAGAATTTGTAAACTTAAATATTTTATTTTTAAAATAAAGAATCAGCAGGGATCTAATGTTTATTCATCTATATATTCTAATTTTTACTGTATTAAGTAGCAATATTAATATTATTAATTAGTGTCATTATTAATAATTATATTTTAATCAACTATTATGGGGTAACATAATTATAACATAGGGTTAGTGGTGATGCAAATGAATTTAACTAAATAATCTGTATGTAAAGGAGTCTTTAAATAGAACTTTGTAGCTTTAAGAGAAGAGTTAATAGTTAATTGTTAATATTAATTAATATTAATTAATATTAACTATTAACAATTATTACAATCAATAACAATTATTCATTCAACAATTATTATTAATAACAATAATAGCAATTATTATTCATGTTATCATTTCATTGCCAAACACTGTATGTATTGGTATTTTACAAATGTTAACCAGCTTAATTCAGTAGTCAAATTTTTGTTGTAAATACTAGTATATCCTTTGTTTTCAAGTAAAGAAGTTGGACAGAGAAGTGAAAAACTTGTTTCAAGGTTCATATCAAAGAACATACAAGAACTGATTATTAAACATTGGTTATATTTTTATAATATTTCTGATGTATTGTTAAACCTTAGATGCTTCACTGAAATTTTGCTCAATTTTTAATTAAGACATTTAATATAAATAGAATTTTAGTGTATTTATGTAAAAAATTTCAAGATATTACTTTATAAACACACACACATATGCATGCACACACACACGCACATACTCACACTCACATATATTTTTGTACCAAAAATGGAGGGAAACATCACTCAAAAGTTAAAAACAAGCTATTGGTTTGAAATCCCAAAGATGCTGGACTGAAATGAGTCTCTCTGATGTTTTGGCAGGAAATCCTCTACACCTTGAGAAATTTTACTTGGGACAGAAAATATAAGGGCAGGCACAAATAAAGGCAGGTGCCATAATTATAACATAGGGCTAGTAGTGATGTGAACAAATTTAACTAAATAATCTGTTTATATCTAAAGGGGCCTTTAAATAAAACCTTGGAGCTTTAAAAGAAGGTAAATAGCATTTTCAGCCAGTGCAATAGAAAGCTATATGTTATTAAGTCTTTCAGATATGAAGTTGGATATATTTTCCATTTTTCTAAACATGCATAAAAATATTTAGATGGTTACCATATTCTTTGATTCTTCTAGGAGTCAATCTTAAGATGTGATGCTTTCATGTGAAACCTGAAACAAGGTGATCTGGGGAACCAAAGACTCTAGGACTCTTGGTGCCAACAGAGCTACTCTGTGAGTATCCTTGGTGTGTAATGATGCTTTCTTCCATCTAGCTGTTGTAAGTCATGCTGTTTATGCAATTAGTAAATCTTACTGTGAATGGTAATATTGGCATGACTACTGTTTTAGTTCATTTTCTAAAATAGGACATACCTTAAACTTTGTACTTTTAGCTTCTAGTGTTTTCATGATCCAATATACTGTGTGATCTTGGTCAAGAGACTAAGTCTCAGTTTCTCTGTATATAAAAAGAAGCTAAATATAAACTTCCTTCATTAAAATGATTAAAAAGTAGTAAATGATAAAGTTTCAATAATATTAATAGCATTATATTCTATTTTTATTACTAACATGAATTCTGATTTTAAAATTAACGAGAAAGCTAGAGATATATACTTTTAGTTATTTACCTTTATCATTGACACTTTTTAAAAATCTACATTTTGAACAAAAATGATCATATTGGGGTTTTTTACATTCATATTTTGTTTGCAAAGGGCTTATCACTCATGAAGTTTTCACACTCATGATTCAATCTGATTTAATCCTTCATACAATCTTGGTTTAAAGCAGGTCAGGGATTTTAATCCTCACTGTGCAGATGAGAAAACTGATAACTGATGCTCAGCATTGTGTCTTGCTGAAGGCTGCATAACTTATAAGGGACTTAAAATTCAATGTTCTTATAACCAGTTCTTATAACCAGTCTATACCATCTTCTCTAGACTGTTCTTATAACTAGTCTATACTCTTTCAAATAAATGTAAGCAACTGTATTCAACTGGTCAAATTTCTATTTTTGCATTGGATTGCTACATATTTTAACTAGTTTATAAGAGTAGTGTGATAAATTTACAAAGTTATATTACCTGTTTGTTGCGAACAATTCCTAGACCAACTGTATGGCTGTATTCTGTCTTCTACCTCTGTTGTATCATGTACTCTATCTTCTACCTCTGTTGTATCATGTACTCTGTCTTCTACCTCAAGTTCATGAACAAATCTTGGTATATCTATGTAGTAAACAGAATAATGGACCCCCACATCTTAAACTCTGCCACTTCAGAATATTATGTTACATGGTAAGAGGAGAATTAAGGTTGCAGATGGAATTAAGGTTGCTAATTAGGTGACTTTGAAATTATCCCTGATTATGTGCATGGGCCCAGTGTAAATACCAGGATCCTTATAAGTGAAAGAGAGAAGGCAGCATGAAAGATACTCAGTCCAACCTTGACGGTTTGTTGATGTAGGAATGCAGCCAGAAGCCAAGGAATGCCAGTGGTGGCTTTCAGAGTATGGAAAAGCAAGGAAACAGATTCTGTCCTAAACCTTCCACTCACACCTTGATTTTAGTCCAGTGAGACCCATTTCAGACTTCTGACCTCTGAAATTGTAAGATAATAAATTTGTGCTGCTTTAAGCCATTGTATTTGTGGTTGTTTGTTACAGCAGCAACAGAAAAAGAATACAGCTCAACACCGTGAAATTATGGAGAGCCTCAGAGTAGAAACAGTGGTTTGTGCCAAGAGGTTACTAGGTCAGTCATAGGGGTATTTGCTGCTTTGATTGAATTTTTTGTTCCATGTTAAGTATGATCATAGGGCTAGGTTGTAATATGTCATATGGTTCCTTTTGGATACATAGTTTGCTAAGGAAACCAGCTTACCCCTGCCTGTTCTTATGAAGAGTACAGAATATAGATCTTGGAGCATTTGGGTTCAAATGCTGCCTCTGATGCTTACTAATTATAATCTTTTTGAGCATCAGTTTTTTCATCTGTAAAATGAGGACAATACAAGTTCTTTATAGGGCTGTTGTGAGAATTAGCTATTAACTTGTGTTAAGTGCTTAAAATACTATTAATACTTGGCATATTGTAGGGACTAATTAAGTGGTAGCTATTATTATTACTAAATTATTCCTCAAATACTGTATTTTCTAGATTCATTTTCTTTATTCAGATCTAGATAGGAAAGTATCCAAAACTATCTCAAAGGGATGAGCGCCTTTGTGGTGGAGGCATTTTAGTATAATTATGTGAATTTTGTAATTTGATATTTTACTTAATTTTTTAAAACCTTTCGTGCTTTGAAATGCCTCTTCTTTGTCTGTTTTCATCATCATAAATATGTAGATGAAGCAAATTTGTATATTCTATAATGATTCATTTCATTGACTTTACTTATTGTACTGTCTTAACTGTTTTATATTGTGAGTCTTTAGGTTAGTTTTGATGTTACTACTTCAGCATGCGAATATCTTGGTAGTAGGGAAAGTATGCAGCACCCTGTAATAAGAGATCCTAGATTAAAAATACTTCACAAGTGAGAAAAACCTAATCTGAATAGAGTTTTCAAAGACATTGTTGAGAGAGGAGTCTCTTAAGTGGATACATAGAAATGACTACTTCGGTCAGTGCCCCATTCTCTGTGTTTGACGGTGGTGGGTCTGCTTTAGGCCTGGTGGGAGCATATATTTGATCAGTCTTTTAGGCCTTCACCACAGTGGCTATATCCCAAGGGACAATATATTAATTAATTCAACCAACATGTGTTACATACCTCCTAATGCCAATAAACAAATAATGTCTGTTCAAGATGTTTCCAGCTTAGTGGGGAAGAACCAATGATCCCTGAAGTAGCATAGATTCTAGCAGTCTAGTTAGGCAGGGTGGTAAGACCTGTTTACTCTTTCTAGCTACCCACACACAAAGGCCAGTTGCAGCATGCCATGATTTCTTATGCAGTTTTAAAACATGCATTGCTCTTACAAAACAGTTTGTCTGTGCCTGTCTTTTGACACCCTAGGTTTTCTCTAGTACGAGGAAAAACAAAACAAAATACATTCCTTACATAGACACCTGAAATACAAGGAATCCCTTTAAATTGTATACTTAAAAACTATAATCACAGGCCTATTGAGTCTGTGGTTAAGAAACAGATATCAATAATCACATAGTATATTTTAGTAAAATGAGGTTTCTCTTTTTCCTCAAATACATGTGGTATCTTTGTGGTGTTTTTCAATCAATTCCTTCGATTTTCATTTTACAGTCTTACTTCTCCCACACTTAACTAATTGGCATCTCATTTACCTGGATAAAGCTAGAAATCACAGAAAATTAGGAGGAGCTTTCCCCAAGGCACTCAACGATGTGGAAATGGTTGGATCTTTGGGTAGCCTTGGAGAACCGTTTGAACACGGAAGCTACAAAGGATATCACTGTTTCTTCCCTATGTTTTCACTTGAATCCAGCAGTTAACAGAAGGGTAGCAAAGGAAAATAGGAACTATTTGACCAAAAAAATCACTGCAATGAGTTAGTGGAAGGTTTCAAGTGAATTATGTGCCAAATGCCTTCCCATGCCTTCTATGCCTTTCTGTGCCTTTCTACCTTGAAACTGCATCAATAAATCAGTACAGAGGTAAGCTGAGCATGCCCGGCTGTTAATATATCCTCCCTAATATTCCAGTAAGCCTCTCACTGTGTCCTCATTTCTTTCACATAGACTATGCATTGTGTGGGTTGGTATAAATGCTAACAATCAAATAATTAGGCTTTTTCTTTCATGTTGAGTTGGCCAGATTTACATATTTGGCAGTATCTTAAACTTAGGAAAGTTTTTAAATGTTCAGTCTTCTCCATTCATAACATGGTTCAGAAATAATGAATTGAGAGTTTCTGATATGAAATAATCAGTCAAATGTGGTAATGTGTCTATAAAAATATGGTTAAAATGAGTATAAATGGTTTTAGATACAGGGAAACATTTCTGTGATACTGTCTTGATAATTAAAATCCTAACATTACTTAACAGCTTTATGATGTGACAGCAGATGCCTAGAGTAGGTAGTTTTATTATTTTGGCTCATACCTTTAGCTTATGTGAATGTATGTGGTGATCAATTAAATTATGCAAGATTTTATAATATATGACTTTGCTAATACTACTTTATAACTCTATTTTAGCTTTGACAATTCTGGTTTTAAAATATGCACACACAAACACACACACACACACACACACATTCACACACACATATATAGCCTCCCACCATGGGAAAGTGAATATTTAAAAAATGTTCTTAATTTATTTAGCAGGTATGAGTGCATATTTCTTACATGCATATATTGTGCAGTGGTAAAATCTGGGCTTTTAGTGTGCCCATAACTCAAGTGGTGAACATTGTATCCAATAGGTAATTTCTCAACCCTCATCCTCCTCCTAGCTTCCCACCTTTTGTAGCCTCCAATGTCTATTATTACAGCGAGTGACTGTTTGAGAAAAGTAAAGCTGCCTTGTTTATCCCAGCATCCCTCCTGTACATAATACAATTGGTTTTGTGGCTAGCTACTCATTATATGTTGGTCTAATTAGTTATTTAATTAAACACAAGGAAAAAATATATTCAGCTAGTCCCTTTGATTCATCTCTTTAATTCTTAAAATTGATGCTGAACTGGAGAATATTGCTTGGATATATGGTCAAATGGGGTTTCTCATTTGAACTTATCAAAACTTAGGCTTTCCCTTGTATGGGAAGAACCTGCTCTAGTAAAATTATCATACAATGTAGACCAGATCAGAATCTATCTCCTCCGTAGGAAGGCATATCTGGAAAAGGGAGAGCCCAGAATATTGCTGCATCAAGCTTGCTTAATTTTTATTTGAAAATTCAGCTATCAGATGTGGAGTGGATTGAAGTGTTATTTTAACAGTAGTGTCTGCATTAGGAAATATGAGGCCAGTATGTAGGTGAGAAGCCTGGGGGTTAGAGAGGTTAGATAATTTGTTCAAGATGAGAAGTAGAGTATAGGTTTTACCCAACTCTTCTAATACTAAATCAAGGTGTTTTCTTGTCGTTTTATTTTGTGGTTTTTGTTTTTGCTTTTGCTGCTGCTGCTTTTTTTTTTTTTTTAAGAGCCCTTTAAATAATCCTTTTTTAAAAAGAATCCTTTAGATTTTTTTAAAAACATCTTTTTTTAAAAGAATTTTATGCTGCATCATAA